ATTTATGTAGCTGAGAATAGGATCATAGTATATTTTTCAAAATAGTAAAGAATAGGTTTCTCTTTACTCTATGCCTGAATATAATATAATCAGATCAGTAAGATCATAAGCTGTAATTGCTTTGGTTTTTCTGTCTTGGTAAAAAAATTTGATAAAATTTAAATCTGATTAAAGAATACCTATATATTTACAAGCATCTAATAAATATTTAATATTAATTTTGTTGAAGGCTTTAGGCATATCTTGAAAGAGTATCTAAGCCTCTTTGTTATTAAATTTGTAATATTTAATTGTATTAAATAAAATTTGTATAGAAATATAGATTGAGCTGTTTTTAGTTGCTGTAAAATTAAGATTACTTAAAAGTTAATATTAAGTAATAATTTGGTCAAGACAAGTTATAAAAATTTTTGTAAAACATTTTTTGATTGGTTCAATAAGTAATATTAGTCTAATTTGGTCTAAAGTGAAATTTTATAAGGATTTTTTTAAGATTAGAAAAATGTTAAATGTTTTTCATATTGTTGAAACTTATTGTAATAATAGATATTTGGTTAAGAAAAGTTGAATAATATTTTAAGCTTTTGGATTTAAACATTTTAAATATTCATAATTTGTTTTTAATAGATCTGTTGCTTTTGATTTGGAAGGTTATATATAATTTTGTTTCATTCTTTTATATAAATTTCTGAGAATAAATTAACAAAATAGGATTCATTTTCTAGTTAAAGTTTATAAAGTTTGTAAAATTTTATGTTTTCTTGAATTGGTATATAAGGTAGTTCCTTGAAATAGTCTTGAAAATAGAATTATAAAACTTGTTTAATTTTAGATGATTGAGTAGTAAGTGTATTGTTAAATAGTAGTCAATCTAAATTAATGCTATTATTATATTTTTCCAAGACATTATAAAAGAATATTTTAAGATTTTAATAGAAGTTATTATTTCTTTCTTCTAGTTTGTTTTGAATTTTTTTTAAAGTATTTTTTTGTTTTTCTTTAGAAATTTGTGTTTTAAGAGTTTTGATTTCAGTAATATAAGAATTGGAATGAATAATAGAGTTTGAATTAGAATTAGTTAATGTTGAGTATAAGGATAGTAGTATAGTATTATTTGAATATTTATTAATATATGAATTACAGATTTGTATAAAGTTGGGTTTATTAAGAGTTATTTTAAGTAGGATAACTTGTTTAAGTTGTTTGTATAATGGTATAAGTGTTGATGCTGGTTGTTTATTTTGATATAAATTTATTTTGATTTTTTTAAATAAGATATGTTTTTTAGTTGTCTTAGTTAGGATTTTGTTAATTTGATTTCATATAATGTTAAGTTTAGAGTTATTGGTAATATTTGTAATAAGTATGAGAAGTTTTTGTAACTTTTGTTTAATGTGGTTTTGGTAGTTTTCAATTTGTTTATTTTCTATTAGTTTTTATTAGTATATAGTTCTTGTTTGTAAAAGATGTATATTAATTTTAGATAGATTAATTGTGAATTCAAGTAAAACTATTGAATGGTATGATAAGATAAATAGATTAGATAAAATATTAGCATAGTTAAGAAGTATAATATGAATATTTGTTCATATTTGATCAATTTGACTATAACTATTATTATATATATAAAAGAACAGAAAGGTTGATAAATAGAAGAGTTTATAGGTATTGTAGAATTAAAGAGATTTCAGAAGTTTTAAAAGAGACTATTTGGATATATTAGAATTTTTTTGTAGTATTTTATCTAATTTAGGATTAGAAATACTATTTAGGTCTTCTATTAAGATAATTTTGTAATTAGTTTTGTTAAAAATAGGAATAAAGTATAAAAGAATATCTTTTCAAAATTGTTTTTTTTCTTAAATTGAAAAATAAATTTGAATTAGCTTAATATAAAGATTTTTAAGAAAGATATCAATTTCTATAAAGAAATTTTTATAAGTTTGAATTTTTTCAATATGTTTAGCAAATGATTTGTGGATCAAAATTCCTACACCACTTTGATGAGCATTGCTTGGTATCCAGAAGCTTTTATAATTTGTGAGTTTTTGTAAGAATGTTAAAAATTTTGTTTCTTTGATGAATAAATATGTTTCTGATATTCCAAAGATGTTTATTTGATTTTCTGAGATATAATCAATTAAACTTAATTGTTTGTAGTTGTCTAGAAGATCATTAATATTAAATGAATATATTTTAATTAATTTTATATTGTTTGAAACTTCTAGTTCATTTGTGCTTGTTGGGTCAAATTTAGTTGAAGAGGAGATATAAAAATATATATTATTTGAATTAACATTAAAGAAACTGACTTATATTAACAGCTTTTTGTATCTTGTAAATTTTTTATTTTGCAAGAAAAATATGTATAAATTTTGATAACTAAAATTATTTAAAATCATTTAAATTCTATGCACAGTAATATAAAAGTTACATTTTTAATTCATTCTATATTAAACACAAAGTGTAATTCTGAATTTTCTGTCCGTCTAATCACATGATTTGCACTATAAATCAAAATATCCAACTTTATCTAATTCCCCTTCTTAATGCTCCGGACTTACATCGGCTTCCAATTCCTAGTTTTAGTTACAATTACTAAGTAATAACCACTTCAACTCGACATATTTCATCAAATCCGCAGTAATATAATTGATTATTGCTCAATCAGATACAGATGATTTTATTAAAATAATTAAAAAACATATAATCACTATTATTACTAGCTCTAAAGCTTATAACTAAAGTATTACATTTCTAAAGCAAAAATGCTACTCGAACTAACTGCCATAAATCCACTTCTAATGTATTGAAGTTATGTCTGTTAGAATTCAACCAACCCATAACCTATAGCTCATCTATAAAGCTTAAACATACAAAGACAGGCCGTCAAGAAGAAATCCATATAGCTCCAAAAGGATCAGACCAATTTAATTCAGTGTTTTACATTATACTTCTTTCTCAAAAGAGGATGTAATGTAAATCACCAAATTAAATTGATCTGGCCTTATGTATTCATTTATGAAGTGATAAGGGTGCTGCTAAATTCAAGAAAGCTAACTGCCACCAGTTAAGGTCTTTACACTATTATGGCAGCAGTGAAATCTGATATTGCTTATTATTACTATTTAACCTATTGAACCAAGTCCAAACATTCTTAGTTACTGAATCACTGTAAGGTGGGTGAGTGGATTGGAGGAACGGTAGAGCCAGCCTCAAAACAAATGAAAGTTCCTTTTACTACTGAACAACAATCATTTGATTAATTCTCCTTACCTTAATCACCAACTAACACTTATATCAATTGGCACTCAGCAATCATATGCGATCACTATTTTAAGAAAACCTGCGTCTAACGAGAAAACAAAAATAGCTCTGTAAAGTCGCAAATAATGGTCATTTAGGCACTTGTTGAAAAACTTTCATTACTTCAAGTAATTCAAGTAGTCAATTATATAGCATTATCGTTATTTCGCATATTGGTATTGTTTAAAAGTAGAACCGACACACGTGATCGCAAAATAATTTTATTGCATGAGAATTTTTAGAATACCAATACTACCAATACTATCCTATCAATGGTGATTTAGATTGAGAATGGCATTTTATTTATTTTCTTTAGAAACAGAAAGCATTATGCGGTAATATATAGTAATGTAACCCAAATGCATTTATGGTTATAGTTTTATTTTTTTTTACTTCACCTTTTTTTAATTTAATAATATAGCTGAAAATTTTGGGGTTCGTTTTACAATCGCATTGTTAAAATCTATAGACCCGAATTTAGGCCCAATTCCGCAAATCCGTCAATATGAGTTAACACGGCCTGCAAATTATCTATTTTTGTAACCTGGCCCGGCCCGCACTTAGTTTTAAAAATTTTTTTGGCGGCCCGCATTTAGCTTTACAGCTGTTTTCATAAATTCTGGAAAATCTGGCAAAAAATTGACCGACCGAATGTTTGCCGATCCGATTCGGCAGTGATAAACTTTTGATTCGGATGTAATCACATTCGAATCAAAAGTTTATCTAAACATATCGGATCGGCAAATATTCGGTCGGTCAATTTTTGCCAGATTTTCCAGAATTTATGAAAAACAGCTGTAAAATTTTTTGCCGGCCCGCATTTTTTCTTCAGGCTAGCCCAGCGCGCAAATTTATTATCAAATTTTGAGGTCCGCAATTGTAAAATTTTGCTTCGGGCCGGGTTGGGCCAGGCTGCGGGACCCAATGCAGACCTCTGGCCTAGGCCGACCTAACGCTAAGTCATTGATCTGCACTTAAATTGAGCTATAGTTTAGAGCCAAACTTAGCGATGGCTCAGCTTAAGCTGTGACTCTTTAATTTTACATCAAGCATACTGATACGTAATCTGCTATTAAAGTGTCGTGTTTCCATTGGAACCATGGCTTGAGCCACAGCTTAGGTCATGGCTCGAGCTATGGCTCAATTCACTTTCATAAAGTCATAGCTTTGAAAATTCTTAAAAATTAGATATTTAAAATGGGGGCAGTTAAAAAAAGAAACATGTCAAGTGCGGTTTAGTTTAGAAAGACGCTTTACGTTATAAGGATATTGAAAAATGAAATTTCGATGTTTGTTGATCGTCGATCCCTTAATTAGGTAATGCCCTATTCTGAACCGGGACGACTCCAATTTGGGATGCGAAATATATATTACATTTGTGCAATCAGACTTTAATTATTGAAGCGACCATTAACCATAAATTTTAGGTCAACTAACAACTTGACTGACCTTGTTAAATATATCTATACTTATATTCTAGATCGGTTTCACAATACAAAAGTTAAAATTTGAACGAATTGATCATTTTGGTTGTATAAGATTTTTTTCTTCTAATATTTATACAAATAAATAATAACAAAACCAATTAAATGATTATACAATAATTAAGGCGTGCACAGTATAAATTATTATTTCCGTGCCAAACACATATACATATGAAATCATTGGCCATAATTTTTATAAACACAAGTTCATTAATCCAATTCGCCTTGAGGATTAACTCTTGCATACGGGGTACCACCAGCTGATGGTGTTCCAGGTCCTGATGTGAATAAGCTGTTTACAAGATCTTGAAAGATATTAAATTGTTGTGGTCGTTGTACACGTATGTTGAAAAATACTTCCCCGATCTTATTTAAAAGCTATGTAGAAATTTGGAAAGGTTAGGATTTGATCATAAGGATTCTTTTTTTTTAAAACAAATACTCACATCTTCGAAGGAAGGCTCAACAGATAAGACACTTTTATATCTGTTTCGTAACTCTCCAAATAAATCACTTGCTTCTCTTTGTACTGTAAGGATCAATAATTGTAAAAAATTCAGCAGAGGCAACAAGTAAATCGTCACATCAACGGCATCTCCGGTTATCGTTGGATTGTATTGTGCTGTTCCAGCTTTTAGTTCCGGAACTTTCTCGGTCAAGTCCGCGATGAAAGATTCAAATGCAAACTTTGCATCGCGAATGCTCCGCAGACAAAGATACCTACAATTGTCAATGATATTTTTATAATTGAAATAATTCACTAAAAACCAAGAAAATATTAAATGACCTAAGAAACATACTGCAATACTGCACGAGCAATATAGGCGCCTATTTTGGATGGATGATCTTGACTAGACCATTCCGCCAACATTCTCCCATATACTTTACTACTCTCTGCTGTCCCCGCAAGAAAATGAGGCTCAGCCTCAGAATACATTTTATCTAAATGAATATTTTACAATTAGAAGAAAAAACAAGCACACAGATCTTAATTATTCGAATTAGTATCAAAAGTGACACCTTTATATAATAACTCAGCGACGAAATGATGAAGTTCTGGATCGCCAGCAGGATTTTCACCAAATTTAACAGACCAGCTAATATGAGAAAAATGTAGGTGATTTGACGCTCTAAAACCGAATAAAGGTGGGATTGTACTGGAAGAATGAACGCACAAAAAATGATTGGTGTTCACCTGACCGCTGAATCAATAAACCTTTTTCGACCAGGTTCATCCGACGGGAAAAGTAATAGTAGTTGAATAATCCGAGCTTCATGAAATAAGAGAAATTTGATATTAAAACTATATATTTCTTATAGTATAAAATAAAAGATTAATAAACTAAAAACCTCGTGACTCGTCATTGACAGCCATCTCCTCATCATTGTACGCGTCAATTAAATACAATGATAAATCTACTCCACTGCCAGTTTGTTTATGTTTAAGCAAAGTTTGCGCACCAGAATACAGAAGATCTATAGCACGGCTATATTTCTTTTGTTTGATATATCTGTGAAAGAGATATAATACACATTAAATTATATGTTCAAACTGAAATTACGTTTATTAGAAGTTTCTGAGCATAACAAAAGAACAAGACGGAGTGATAAATATGTTCTATGAAAATTTTAAAACTGTCGAAAAACAAAGTTACAACGCATGACTGTCTACCGTTGACATAACTTACCTTCTACAGACGGTACGATACATCTGATGTGCCTCATAATAATTCCCATTTTCAACTGACTCCTTAAGCTTTTCTAACACTTTGTCAGTACCTTTCAAGGATGCCATACTTTGATAGAAATCAGACGAAGCACATGTGTTGATCGATATGGTACATATAGTTGTTCGCAACTACGTGTAACATATTACGTAGCCGAATTACAGAATTGTAGGTGATAGTGCCCCAAATTAGAAAATGATACGCATTGAGCATTGTTACCACAAAAGGTACAACGCACCTACGTCTAACTAGGGTTGTTAACGGGTTGGGCAACTCCTCAACCCACTCCATCTTGGGTTGGGTTCACTCCGGAGCCACTCCAGGCTTGCTTAGAGCTGCTCCGGTTCACTCCAGTTTTACTCCAAATTTTTAGGCATATCTTTAACCCACTCCAACTTGGGTTGGGCTCACTCCGGAGTGGCTCCGAAGTATGTTACTCTCTACATCTAACTTTTACTATAATAACGTGCAACCTTATTAGAATTAGAGTATGTTTAGATGTATAAGTGTAGGATAGGGTTCAGAGCACAGAGGCATGGAGGCATGTTATATAGTCAAAAAGCATGCTTATACTTAAGAAAATATCATATGATTGGTTAATTTTTTTTTTTAGTGTTAAGGTGATCTTTTTGGTAATTGGTTAATTTTTGTAAATTTATATATATATGATAATTAATCAAATTACATAATTATATATATATTTTTTTTTGGTATTAACACAGGTCGAACGAATGAATAAAGGGTGAATAATAAGTAAATAACAGAAAAAAAAACTGTCATTATTCTACCCTATATTTGCCAAATAATGGCAGCATAACAGCAGAATAACAGTAAAATAACAGAAGGTTTGTCAATATGAATAACATAATAGTAACATAATAGCAA